AAAAAAGACAAAAAAAGACAAAAAAAGACAAAAAAAAAAAAAAAAAAAAAAGAACTTGCATTCTAGTGTGGAAAACAGGCAATAAATAAGCCAAAAAGGAAAAAAAAATTTCAGGTAATGTGTGATTTGAAGACACATAATTAAGATAGTTGGCCATGGAGGGCCCAGCTGTTTTAGGTAGGGGAACCTGAGGTTTCCTCTCTGAACAGAGAACTGAGTGAAGAAGAGAGGGTTCAGTGGGGCAGCTGTGGGGGAGGTGTGAGGGTCTGCCCAGGCACCTTTGTCATCATGACTCTTGTCTCCTGTGATCAGTTAAGCCATCCCACTCCAGTTGTGCATGCAGTCACTATCCTCTCCATATACATAGCACACTCGGTTCCTTTTTAACATAAGCATGGATTCAGAGCAAGTGACAAGGGGCATCCATTCCAGTCTCATTGCTTATCACCTGCAAGTGACTGTGGTATGTATGGGGAGCAGGTTAGGGCTGGCTGGAGGTTGTTCCACTAGATAACAGCTATATGTTTTAAACTAGGACTTATTCATCAGAACATCCCACATACCAGAAATAAGAAAGTCTGTGGAATTTGATCTGATTTGTACTTTATTTTGTAACAAATATATCTTACCTGATTTTATTAAGGGCTATTTTATTTATTTTTAACAGGAATCACTAGATTTGATCTACTTGGAGACTTTGGAAGGTTTAATTGGCTGGGAAATTTCTATATTGTATTATCCTACAATTTGATTTTTGCTATTGTGACAACATTGTGTCTGGTCAGAAAATTCACCTCTGCTGTACGAGAAGAACTTTTCAAGGCCCTAGGTAATCCTGAGGTTTATGAGTATTTTTCTCTCTTTCTCCTAATTAAAAATTTTGACATTTGAGTTAATTTTAAGTCATCAACTCTTCAGTTTTCCAAATACGTAAAACCTTAGAGGTCAAATCTTGATCCATTACTTACTATGATTTTGTGAAAAATTACCTTACTTCAGTAAGCCTCAACTTCTTGACATTTGAGTTAATTTTAAGTCATCAACTCTTCAGTTTTCCAAATACGTAAAACCTTAGGGGTCAAATCTTGATCCATTACTTACTATGATTTTGTGAAAAATTACCTTACTTCAGTAAGCCTCAACTTTCTCATCTGTGAAATAGTGACAATACCTTCTTTTTTTTAGGATTGTGAATATGAACTGAAACAGTTCTTGAAAGGGCCTTAGCGCAGTGCCTGGCACGTTGTAAGAATGCAGCAAACATTATCTCCTTTGTTGTTATGGTGTTGCATGATGGTGGTGAGGATGATACTGCGTTCAAGGCTTATTTTTTGGTAATGATACTGTTCACCGTTTTTTTGCTAAAGCTTTTTTTGAGGCTTAGCTTTTACAAGTATCAGGCTGACCCATAATTCTCCTAAGTAAGCCAAGTAGTTGAGGATAAAAATGTTAGGGTTCTTGTCACTAATAGGAGAGAGAGGATTTATTATCATGTATTCTATGAGTCCACCTATTGTGACGGTATTAAAAACTGTTAGGTTTAGCTAAAGTACACATGTAACCTGTGAATGTATTTTTCATGCTTATTTCCACATTAGTGCTAAATGTATTTCAAGTTTTTGATTTAAGAATACCAGGAAAATATAAACTATCTTGGGTTTGGGGTATGTAATTTTATGATAAAAGAAGGGAAAGGCAGTGGTTTATTTTAAAAAATTATAGAAAATCCTGACTTTAGCTCATTTACCTGAGTTGACATCATTTGGATGCTTGTACTCCATATTGCATCGTGGCTTTTAACTATTGCAGAAGACGACATATTAATTGATTCATTAAAGTCCAGTTTTCAGGTAACTTAAACTATATGAGCAGAAATAAAGCTTCTCACACCACCAAGCCTTTCCATTCTTGATGTTTGAAAGGATGACCTTGGGGAGGAAAAAAAGATTTCAGATCATCTGTCCATATGTATTTTACTTTGCATACTCTCTGTGAAGGAATGGCTGATGAAATACTGGCCTGAAAGGAAAAAGTTACATCTCATTTCAGATGAAGCACCAAATAGTTTATGGATTTTAATGACTGGGTTTCACAGTGCTGGCCACGTTAAAAACAAATATGAAATGGGAATCAAACAGTCCTCTCAGTCAAATGTCCAGAGTTGAAACTTAATTAACCCTGTTGTAATGGCAAGATTAGTTAGCCATAATCTTAGATAAATTCTCAGTTACCATTCACTAAATGAGATGGTTGCAAAAAATTATAGTAAGTTTAGCATTTGAGTTAGGTTTTCTGGATATCATTTTGCTAAGGAAGCCTTTATTAAAGTAGTAAAACATTAACTTAACCTCACGTAAAAGCTCTTATATGTTGTGTCTGTTCTTTGGCCTTAACAGACAGTGGAATTATCAAGAGTTGTGTAAAACTATGTAATAGATAAACTTTTCTTTCCAAATGTTTTCCATTATTCTTTGGAGTGCTCTAAGGGGATAACTTATGCATAGAAAAAGATCCTCATTGAGTATATGTAATGTTTGAATGATCTGAAGTCTTAATTTCCCTGAGTCATACTTTCATTATTAAATTTAAGTATCTTCTTTCTTTCTTTTTCCTTTTTGTGTAGGCTTTCCCCCCCTCTGCTACTATGTCCCTACTATGTTCATTGATGATAATAGTATCCATCTTAGAGAATATCTGGCACATAATCAACACTACACACTTAGCTATGGTGATGGTGGTAATGGAGGTGATTGTTTTTAGGGTTCTCTGCAGGAGAAAGGCATTGCAACTTTAAAGAATGCATAACCTATGCTGCACCAAAGTTTTCAAAGTGAACTATCTCAAATAATCTGTTCTAACAGGGTGATCTATTTCAGTTCAGTCAATGAGTACCTCATTGATCTCTTTGAGTAGTCACCCCTCCCCCCTTTTTTTTTCTGCAGCTGGTTGGTACAGGGATTGAACCCTGGATCTCGGTGTTAGCAACACCACATTCTAACTAACTGAGCTAACTGGCCAGCCCTTGCTCAGTCTCTTCTCTAAAGAGCCTTATTTTAACACACTTCCCCACCTCCAACAGCCCTGGTTTCCTATTGTCACTCAGTTGGTCGGCCATTCTTTGTATAAGCTCTTTTTTCAAACCAGACTCCAAAGTTATATTTTTCAAACTGAAGTTTACCATCCATTTAGTAAGCCAGGAAATAACTTACTGTTTTGTGTCCGGTATTTTTAAAAATAACAATAAAACAGAATAGAAAATGTCAGCATGCATCACACATAGTAAAAGTAGGTACCATTTTGTTAAATTTTTGCTTATATCTGTAAGAGTATGTGTGTGTGTGTATGTACTGTGTTACAAAGTAAAATGTATTTCTTACTGTGGTCACAAAATTTGAAAGCCACTGATGTATAGGTCTGTCAATGAATTAACCAGATGCTAACAGCATTTACTCTTCTGAGAACTCTGGATTAAACTGCCCAGACCACAGGTGGGTGCTGCTTAGTTCTCCTATGGAAGAAATTAAGAGAAATCAAACAAATCTAAATAACTCAAATAAAATTAAATAATGTAAAATACATGCTTTCTATTATTGATACTACATTTTGGGTTACAAGAAACTGATCTACCAATAACTCCACAACAAAAAGAGAAAGAAAATATCCACTTCTTCCTCAATTCAACTTTTTATCAGAATAATTATTGCCCTTTATAAAACTAAATAAGGAAGCAGCCTATAAATACCCTTAAATTTTAGCCATGATGGTATTTATGATTGAAAAACAAAAACAAAAAAAATCACATATAAGTGCCTATAAACCAAATATGAAATCACTTTTCGTAAAACTTTAATTTCTAAGACATGTAAAAAGTCACACTAAAAGTATCTCATAGAAAAGACTAACAATTTGTAAAGAAAACAATCTGTGAACAAAAATAATTTACCAGTGTGTTCAAACATCATTTTTTTAAAGTAACATTATACCAGCTTTTTAAAATTTAAAAAGTCAGTACTGCATTTATATTCATATCTTTTAAAAAATTTTGCAATAATTCTGCCTTTATGCATTAAATACTGTGCTAACAACAAAGAAAGCACATAGGGCTTGTAAACTATGGAAAACCGTGTCAGCAGATTAAATCATTACTGAAGCGGCAGGGTTGGCCCACTGGATGCGCAGTAAAGTGAGGAGAGGCTGCCATGGCTGAGAGCAGGTGCACATGTACCTCAGTTCACCTGGAGGCAAAACAATGCAAAGGCTTTGTTATCCACCAACCAGCCCCTCAGTGTAGAATTTAAGGAGCTAATATTAAAGTTGCATATTTAGAAATCTATTTTTACACATAATGTACATAAAACTATGTGAATATTAAATTTAAGAGATATTTTGGAAACTCAGTAAAAATCAATACAAATGTTATAATCTGTAAAATTTATAACTGTAAAGTATTTTAATATTGCAGAACCAATTAATGATAAGAATCTGCTAAGTCTCCTTAAGAAACTCTGTAACTGTAGTACCTAATGCTCTCTTAGATACTAAAGGTGCAAGAGAATAAAAGGACAGCTTGATTCAATGCAGTCGCTGGTGCACACCCATCCAATAAGAAATGAAACAGGAGTTCCAGAATTAATTTGACTGTGAACATGTGGAGCTCTGTCTTCCAGGGTCTACCTGCATTCTCTTTCTCTAGTGTACAACTATAATAAAAGGAAGACCCGTATGAGTGACTGTCCTTACCAGCACTCAGACTGTTTGGCCTCAGTGTTCTACCATTCATTTCTAGGTCTGTCCTACAAAACAGCCTCCAGCATATGTTCAATAGAACCACCTGCATTTGGAGTAACCTCTCATCAAGAGGAAGATTCTAACTATGTGATCGGGAATAGAGTCTCAAGGGGTTGTGATTATGTAGAAGACTGAGTATATAACAGTCTGTTATAAAAGGCATTTGAGAACCAAGGTTTGAAACTGTCCTTCCATATGATGCTTATCCTCTGTTTCAACAGCAACAAAGATGCATCCAATAACTGTGTTTAAAAAAAAAAATTTATAATTCATCTTACTAAGCGTACTGATCCAAAGTTCGCTAAGTCTGCAGGGAAAGAAATTTTCAAATGAACAAAAGGTTGAGATAGACATTAAAAAGTTTAATATTTTACTAAAATTTTTTCAGACATCTTACAAATATCCAGGAACTCTTTCTTTGGATGTGACTTGAAACTGGTGTAAGTTAAAACTGATATTAGTATACTCCTGAGGTTTTTTGTGTTCCCCCCTTGACTTGGTCTGCTCAAAATATGGATTCCAAGTTTCAGTAAAAATCAAAACTTGCAATGAATGCTTAAACAGTGATAATTATCAGTGAAATTGTAAAGTAGCTGATTTTTATTAATTTTTTACACATGTAGATCTTATGCTGAGAAATTCACTAATACTAGATTTGGTGGTACTTATTAAGTGCTGCTTAGAATCACAAAATAAATATTCTCTTATTTTAAAACTAAGCTGCATTTTTAAAAGACGAAAAGCTCAGAAAGAAATGCAGAGGTATTGGGCCGGCCCAGTGGCGCACTGGATAGTGTGCCACTTGGGAAGCGCGCCCCGCCCGAGGGTTCGGATCCCACATACAGACTGGTTCCCACTCACTGGCTGAGCGAGGCGCGGGAGCAATACCGAGGGTTGCAATTCCGTTGCCGGTCCCCGGT